CAGGAATTAGAACGAGTCTACGAGAACATGCTGCCCGAGTACCAGTTGTTTACCCGCCGCCAGGATTTCAAGACGTTGACCGAGCTCACACATTTGGTGGTCAACTACGAAGTCGCCCGCAGCCGCGGAGGCCGACCCGTCCGTGGATACCCGTCGGCAAACGCAGACGCCGAGTATCCACCCCAGAGCAGGAACGCACGACCTAGGGCGAACCCTGTTCACACACCGCAGGTGCCACGCCCTGGGAACGCGACCAACGACGCCGCCAGCCGAGGCACCGGAGGAAACTCCACCCAAGGGGCCACGCCCACCAGGTCAACCGACCCCCGCACCACCTGCCGAAACTGCGGCCAGGCTGGTCACTACGCCACGGAATGCCGGAACCAGAGGACCATGTTCTGCTGGGACTGCGGTCGCCAAGGCATACGCACTATCGAGTGCTGCAGGAACCAGACGCCGGGAAACGGGCAAGGGCCTCGAGTATCAGGGAGCCACTCGAGGAACCCACCGAACTCCCACACCCAGTAACCAACGCCATCCAACAGGATCGGAACCGTATCCGCGCACAGGTCACGGTCGAGGGACGACCACTCACCGCCACCTTGGATACGGGGGCCTCGCATAGCTTTATAAGCGAGCGCCTGGCAAGGGCACTCCACGACGGGAAGAACCATCGTGCCGTGCGAACGCGGGTGAAGTTAGCAGACGGAACCGGCAGGGAGCTCACGCAGGCCCTGCGAATCACGATCCAGCTGGGAAAGGCTCGGGTCAGCGTCTCCGCCCTCATCATGGCGGATGTGCTGGACGACCTTCTACTCGGGATGGATTTCCTGTGTTACGGAGGAGCCACACTACAGTGTGGGGGCTTGACCCTCCAACTCGAGCCACCCATTCCTGACCAACCCACGAGGACCAGCTCGCCGACACCAACCGGGAGCAAACAAGCCGCTCCACGAGCGCACATCGAAGCCGCCACCCAGGCGCACTCACCGGCCGCCGCAACACAGGCGCAGCCCCAAGCCGCCACCCAGGCGCACCCCGAAGCCGCCATCCAGGCGCAAACACAAGCCGCCCCACGGGCGCACAAACGTGCCGCCACGCCGGCGTACACACCCGGCACCCAGGCGCACATCGAAGCCGCCACGCAGGCGCATTCCTCAGCCGCCACCCAGGCGCAAACACAAGCCGCCCCACGGGCGCACAAACGTGCCACCACGCCGGCGCATACACCCGGCATCCAGGTGCACTCCAAAGCCGCCACACAGGCGCACATCGAAGCCGCCACCCAGGCGCACTCCAAAGCCGCTCCACGAGCGCAAAAACAAGCCGCCACTCAGGCGCAGGTTCAAGCCGCTCCACGAGCGCAAAAACAAGCCGCCACACAGGTGCACCCCGAAGCCGCCACCCAGGCGCACTCCAAAGCCGCTCCACGAGCGCACATCGACGCCGCCACACGGGCGCACTCCAAAGCCGCCACACGGGCGCACACCGAAGCCGCCACCAAGGCGCAAACACAAGCCGCCACACGGGCGCACACTGAAGCCGCCACACGGGCGCAACCCCAAGCCGCCACACGGGCGCAAACACCAGCCGCCCCACGGGCACACGCATCAGCCGTCGCAACGCAGGCGCACCCCTCAGCCGCCACGCAGGCGCAAACTCAAGCCGCCACACCGGCGCAAACACAAGCCGCCCCACGGACGACGGCACAAGCCGCCACACAGGCGCACCCTCGGGCAGACTCATCAGCCACCCAGGGGCACTCACCGCAACGCCCTGACGCGCCACGCAGCGCCAGGCACCCCAACGTGCGCACGGTCCCAAGCTGGGCCGGAGCGCTACCTCCGCCTGATCCAGTAGCGGTTCAGCGAAACCCATTTCGCAAAGGGGCCAAGAGGGTCCGCTTCAGCGATTTGGAACCACCACCTCCATCCTGCGGTATCGCTGACGCTGACTACGACATCGAGGAGGAACCGAGAGCCAGAGGCCACGAGGACAACTACCCGGAGCCCTGGATCGGGGAGTTTCTCGAACGAAAACTGTCCCGCTTCAACAGCATCGCCAACGTCTCCCACATCGCCGAGCACAAGATCGTGATGCGCCACGATCGCCCTATTAAGCAACGCTATCATCCACGGAATCCCGCGATGAGGGCCGTCATCGACCAACAGATCGACGAGCTTATCCGCGATGGACGCATAGAGCCTTCCAAGAGCCCCCATAGCGCGCCGATAGTCATCGCGGCAAAGAAGAATGGAGAGGCCAGGATGTGCATCGACTACAGACAGCTAAACGAGAACTCGATCCCCGACGCTTATCCGCTGCCGCGGATCCACCACATCTTGGAGCGGCTGCGAAACGCCCGCTATATATCGACGTTGGACCTGAAGAACGGGTACTGGCAGATCCCAGTCGCCCCGGACAGCCGCGAATGCACCGCATTCACCGTCCCGGGCCGCGGACTATTTCACTGGAAGGTGATGCCTTTCGGGCTTCACTCGGCGCCGGCCACATTCCAACGGGCGCTGGACACCGTCATCGGCCCCGACATGGAACCACACGCTTTCGCCTACTTGGACGACATCATCGTCGTCGGCGCCACTCTCTCCGAGCACGTGCGGAATCTACGCGAGGTATTTCGACGGCTTCGAGAGGCCAATCTCCGCCTCAACCGAGACAAGTGCCAGTTTTTCCAGCGGAGCATAAAATATCTTGGCCATGTAATCAGCGAGGCCGGGATACAGACCGACCCCGACAAGGTCGCTGCCATCCGGGAACTGACCCCACCCACGAACCTGAAGGAGCTTCGCCGATGCCTCGGCATAGCGTCTTGGTACAGACGCTTTGTGCCAAACTTCGCGGACGTGGTCGAACCAATGACCTCGCTACTCAAGAAGGATCAAAGCTGGGGATGGACCGAGAAGCAGAAACAGGCGTTCCAGAAGTTGAAGGACCTGCTCACAGAGGCACCAATTCTGGCGTGCCCAGATTTCGAAGAGAAATTTGTACTCCAAACCGACGCAAGCGAATACGGCGTGGGAGCCGTACTCACCCAGACTATCGACCAACAGGAGCGCGTAATCGCTTACGCTAGCCGCCGGCTAAACACCGCCGAGCGCAACTATTCTGTTACGGAAAAGGAATGCCTCGCTATAGTATGGGCCATCCGTAAGATGCGCTGCTATCTCGAAGGATACCGTTTCGAGGTGCTGACCGACCACCACTCGCTAAAGTGGTTGAACTCCATCGACAACCCCACGGGCAGGATCGCTCGGTGGGCATTGGAGTTGCAGCAGTTCCAGTATGACGTGACATACCGACGCGGAACCCAGAATCTGGTCGCGGATGCACTATCGCGCCAGCCACTGGCCACCATGCAGCAGGCACAAGTTCAGGACATCAACTGTAAGTGGATCACGAAAATGCTACACAGGACCCGACAGGAGCCGGCCAAGTATCCAGACTTTCGAGAGGAGAACGGGCAACTTTACAGACGCATCGGGCTGCGCCCGGAGGATGAGGAATACACCCCCTGGAAACTATGCGTGGGCACTAACGACCGCGCAAGAGTGCTGACGGAATGCCACGACCACCCCACCGCAGGCCACCTGGGCGTGCGGAAGACAAGCACACGAGTCGCCCAGAAGTACTACTGGCCCGGATTATTTCGAGAAGTGGCCAAATACGTACGCCGATGCACAAGCTGTCAGAAGTTTAAGGTAAGCCAAGAAAAACCGGCCGGGAAAATGTTCACCCGCCAGGTCGACGAACCTTTCCACATACTATGTGCGGACTTCGTTGGACCCCTCCCACGATCCAAGCTAGGGAACACAGTCCTATTGGTGTTCCTCGACTCATTCAGCAAGTGGGTGGAACTCGTCCCACTGCGACGAGCCACGGTACCATATCTCGAACGAGCGTTTAGAGAACGGATCCTGAGTCGATTCGGAGTCCCGAAGACTCTGGTCTGTGACAACGGAACTCAGTTCACCAGCCGGGATTTCCGGACATTTTGCAAATCACTAGGAATGGAACTGCAGTATACTGCGCCCTACACGCCCCGTCAAAATCCTACGGAGAGGGCCAACAGGACCGTGAAAACCATGATCGCGCAATACCTGGGCGACGCGCCGCAGAACACCTGGGATCAACTCCTGCCAGAAATCTCGCTGGCCGTCAACGGTAGCGTGTCGGACACAACGGGATTCAGCCCCGCCTTTCTGGTACAAGGCCGGGAACCACGCCTACCCAATGCACTTTACGACGAAGTCACCCCGGGACGAGGAACCGCCCTGATTCCCCCAGCGGAGAGGAGCGAGCAGCTGCACAGCATATTTAAAGTGGCCCGCGACAACGCCGAACGTGCCACGGCCGAGCAAGGCCGGCACTACAATTTACGACGACGGGAGTGGAAGCCACCATTGGGCTCCCTCGTTCTCGCCCGCCATCATGTGCTATCAAACGCCGCCGAGGGCTTCGCGGCCAAACTGGCTGCGAAATATGAAGGCCCGTTCCGAGTGATCAAGTTCCTCTCGCCGAACATCGTCCGGCTGCAAGATATCGGGAGCCGCCGTCGCCGCACGGCCAGCATAAACAACCTAAAAGCATATCACCAAAGCAACGCGGACGACGACGAACATCAGAACGAGGATAGCCTCAGCATCACCGCAGCCCATGACGACCACGACGACCACGACGCCCGTGATCAGTCCAGAAGCCTCCACTCTGGCATCGGCTCTGATCCTAAGGAGCTATAGGAGCGCAGGAGCTTAGGATAGGCGCCACCCTCAAGCAGGCTAAAAGAGGGGTGGACTCTACTAATACGTTTGTTTATTTTCATAGATCCCAAATATTCGTTATTGGAATTGCCAGATCGACCGAAAAGCAACTTCGATACGTACGGGCAGCGCGCTATCGGATATCGATAAAGATAGCGCGATCTTCGCTCTGCAGACCCACGCGTTCAAACCTACAAATTGTGAGACGCAAAAGCTAAAAACATGCCGAGAGATAGGAACACGAATTCGCAGCGCCGCCATTCGCGCCATTCAGAGGACGAACCACGTCGCCGCCATCGCCACCATCGCCACCGCCGCGATCGCCCGGCTAATCAGGACCCAGGTGAGCGCCCAAACACCGCGGCTTCCGCCACGACGATGCCCGCATTAGAGGGACTGCACCTGGCAGCCAACGCCACCAGCCCCAGGCGCAACTCGCGGCCACCGACGCCGACAAGCACGGTCGCCGCCGACACGGGGCGCCCACCGCGTCCGCCATCGGCCGCGCCCGATGCCACCGGATCCACCCCACCAGCGACCACCGCCGACAGCGACGCCCAGCCGTCGCCCGCGATCAGCCCCACATGGTGCGAAGGGCTGACCTACGAGGACGTGGTGGCCTCTATTTTTGAGGCAGAAGAAGAGCCGGACCCAGCCATCCCCTCGGTCCCCGCCTCGCCGACCCCCGTGGGCCCGCTGGGCGCAATTTATGAGGAGGTCTCCGATGCTGAGGTGGTGACTCTCAGCTCGGACGACGACGAGCCACGGGGCGCGGCGATGGACACAGTTGTCCTTCTCGACGAGGAGGAGACCGTGCCGTGGGTACCGCCCCACCGAGAAACACCACCGCCCTCATACGAGGAGCTTTTCGGGCCGGGCCCGTACCCGGAGCCCGACCCTCCAGCATCAGCCGGGGTCAGCACCGCTGCCACCATGGCGGTGCGGGCCACCGGCGCCGCTGCCACGGGCACACCCAGGCCCGCACCCAGTGCCACCGACGCCAAGGAGCAGGCCACGCCCACGCTCACCGCCGCCGACGACACCGCCGACGCGGCAACCGTCCGGGCAGGAGCCAGCACCCCCACGGGGGATGACTTGCTCGCGCTCCTGCTGGGGAAGCTGGCCGCGTCCCCCGACGGACCCACCACGTCCGCCGCATCCCAGCAGCGGGAGGCAGTCCGGGCCGCGGTCCGAACAATAATGGCCACGATCCCCACGGCGGAAGCCACTGCTCAACCCGACGCAGCCGCTGGATCGACCGCCGGCATCCCACCGGCCGCCACTGCTCAATCCGACGCAGCCGCCGGATCGGCCGCCGGCATCCCACCGGCCGCCACTGCTCCACCCGACGCAGCCGCCGGCATCCCACCGGCCGCCACTGCTCAATCCGACGCAGCCGCCGGATCGGCCGCCGGCATCCCGCCGGCCGCCACTGTTCAACCCGACGCAGCCGCCGGATCGGCCGCCGGCATCCCGCCGGCCGCCATGGCTCAACTAGACGCCGCCACCCAAGCGGCCGCCCAACCGGACGCCGCCGCCACGGCGCGCGCCCCGACGCCGCCTGACGGCACCGCGGCCACTGCAGCCGTAGCTGCCGTCCTGCCGTCCAGGCCCGTGCGGCGGGTGAGGCCTATGCCGGCCACCGACCAGCAGCGCTGGCGTGGCCGCCAGCCTTTGGCCAACCCCGAAGGCGAACCAGTCGGCCGCCCAGGCATCCTCCGCCGACCGGCCCCATGGCCCATGGAGGAGGCCAGTACTGACGAGGAATTAGGAGAGGACGCCGAGGAAGACGAGGAGGACGCCGACTCGGAGGAGGAGCTTCCCCCGGTGGATCCCCTGCCTCCAAACGCCCAGGTCCGCGCCCTCGACGGATGGGTTACCGAAGACGGGTGGGTACCCATCGCCCTCCTGCGTAGTATAGACGGGCATCTGCGCCAGCCGAGACGCCGGGAGGTGCGCTACCTGGAGGAGGTAGCCGGCATCCGCTATCGCATCCAGATCTCGACCAGCGGCCGGGTAAAGGTCTTCCCGCACCCCCGAGGAAGGGATGGGGTGTGAGGTAACCCTCACAAGGCCCCCCCTCCCCCTCATGTACATAGTAGTTAGGCGTAATTTATAAGGTAGAGTATAAGGTAGAACTATAAGGTTTAGGGTAAGGACGACCAAGACCCACGGAGGGCACCCCTTTTGTAATATTAAGGCCCATGAAGGGCATCCCGCTTTCCCTCAGTTAGACCCCGAGGGGACAATCACTTTTGAGTTGGGGTGTGGTGCGCCCCAGTACGGGCCACATCCCCGGCCACGCCGAGGATCACATCATCAACACGCAAAACCACATCAGCAACACGCAAAACCACATTCAGCAACACGCGCATCAGCAACACGCACATCAGCAACACGCACATCAGCAACACGCACATCAGCAACATCCACGTCAGCAACATCCACGTCAGCAACATCCACAACCACGCCAGCAACATCTCCATCTCTCCAAACTTGAGCCCTCGGCAGAACCGACGGCCGGGTCCGGAGAGACACGGAAAAGAAGAGGAACGCACGATCGCGTAAGAGACGCGGGTGCGGGAGGCGGCAGACGAAAGAGGACGCCTATAGCCTGCACGAAAGCAGCGTAAGGGCCGCTGCCGCAGTCGACGGCAGCAGCGAGGGCTTCGAGCAGCCTTCGCTGTTCGCCGATCGTGGAGTTAGATTTTGACCATCGGAGTGAACGGAGTTAGTTTTTGACCATCAGAGTGGACGGTTGGATTTTGGCAAGCAGAGTGAACGGACGTGAGTGGATGGCGACAAGGATAAAAGGACACGTGGACATGGAGTCCCTCCGATAAGACGGGTGAGCCGGCCGCGGGCCAGCCCTACGGGGTGGCCAGCACGTGCGCAGGGAACTAGGGACCCTCAGGCATTAAGGAATTATGAATAAAGTTGTAAGAAAACCACAATTAACCATAGTCTTCTCTCTCCCAAGTCCTCCTTCCCCTTTCCCCTCCATACCTATGAGCACCGGCCGTCGGGTGACGGGGCCGGCATGCTGACTCCCGGGTGACGGGAGCAGCCGCTCAAATCCCGTATCTAGGAGCACCGGCCGTCGGGTGACGGGGCCGGCATGCTGACCCCCGGGTGACGGGGGCAGCCGCTCATAACCTGTACTGAGGAGCACCGATCCACGGATGACGGGATCGGTCGCTCAAAACCCCCCTCCCTCGTAGTTCGAGCACCGGCCGTCGGGTGACGGGGCCGGCATACTGATCCACGGGTGACGGGATCAGTCGCTCACTACATCCTTTCCTTGAGCACCAGCACCCGGGTGACGGGGCTGGCAAGTCGACTCCCGGGTGACGGGATCGACGGCTCGTAACCCTCCGCCCCCTAACAGGGCTCCGGCACCCGGTTGACGGGGCCGGATAAGCCGATCCACGGGTGACGGGATCGGTCGCCCTGGGCCTGCCCTGGTCCGCCGGCCGCCCGGGTGACGGGCCGACGGCATAACCACGGCACGCAACCCAAACTTTCCCCCTCAAACCCACGCCCAATTAGGGAACCCGCCTCCTTGTCCTGTCTGTCTCCGTAAATATAAATTATTTCTGTAGGGGACCCTGGATAGACTGAGTATTTATCCTGGCCCGTGATTAGCATCCTTACAACCTTAAGTGAAATGCTTTAATATTTTTACAATTTTTCTTTTGTTCAAAATTTGAATTTATGTAAATTTTTCGCTATTTGTATATGTAGATCTAGTTGGGTTTTACTGGGTTTCCCCAACTCTTTGCAGCGAATGCTGGATCTAATTGTAATCCCCAGAAATTAAGAAAGAAACAAGAAATTAAAAGATAAGCACAATCTCGTATGTCAAATTTTTGTTTTTTGCTCAATGTAACTTTTGAGGTGGCGTGTTGTAAAATATGAATATACATATATAAGGAAAAGTCACATTGATGCACATGCATTCATTTGATGCTTGTATGTGTGAGTGCGATGAAGGAGGAGATCGCAAGAAGTAACGGAATCTTCTTGCGCTTTTCCTTCTACACTTTGGGCATTTGCTTGTACACGCGAACACGACGCTTTACTTCTCCTTTGACAACGAGTGCGTGCGGTTTAACATTAAAAAGTGTCTGCTTATTTTATCTTGTTGCGGGTTTGGATAATACTTTATTGTATTATACTTTTTAATAAATACAATAAAACCAATAATGCAGCTAGATAGATATTTTAATAACAAATTCAGAGAGGTATTCCACTTTTAAATCGGGTAAAAATTTCAAAAGTTTGGGCTAAGCAGTGCTGGGATCTGGTCACTTTTCTGCAAACCCATTTTTTGCAAATTTTGACAGGTCGGGGGTCATAAAAAATGACGAAACATTGACCAAAAATTCGAAAATAAACCAATGATGTAGCTAGATAGATATTTTAATAACAAATTCAGAGAGGTATTCCACTTTTAAATCGGGTAAAAATTTCAAAAGTTATGGGCTAAGCAGTGCTGGGATCTGGTCACTTTTCTGGAAACCCTTTTTTTGCAAATTTTGACAGGTCGGGGGTCATAAAAAATTACAAAACATTGACCAAAAATTCGAAAATAAACCAATGATGCAGCTAGATAGATTTTTTAATATCAAATTCAGAGAGGTATTCCACTTTTAAATCGGGTAAAAATTTCAAAAGTTATGGGCTAAGCAGTGCTGGGATCTGGTCACTTTTCTGGAAACCCTTTTTTGCAAATTTTGACAGGTCGGGGGTCACAAAACATTACAAAATATTTACCAAAAATTCGAAAATAAACCAATAATGCAGCTAGATAGATATTTTAATAACAAATTCAGAGAGGTATTCCACTTTTAAATCGGGTAAAAATTTCAAAAGTTTGGGCTAAGCAGTGCTGGGATCTGGTCACTTTTCTGCAAACCCATTTTTTGCAAATTTTGACAGGTCGGGGGTCATAAAAAACTACAAAATATTGACCAAAAATTCGAAAATAAACCAATAATGCAGCTAGATAGATATTCGAATAACAAATTCAGAGAGGTATTCCACTTTTAAATCGGGTAAAAATTTCAAAAGTTTGGGCTAAGCAGTGCTGGGATCTGGTCACTTTTCTGCAAACCCATTTTTTGCAAATTTTGACAGGTCGGGGGTCATAAAAAATGACGAAACATTGACCAAAAATTCGAAAATAAACCAATGATGTAGCTAGATAGATATTTTAATAACAAATTCAGAGAGGTATTCCACTTTTAAATCGGGTAAAAATTTCAAAAGTTATGGGCTAAGCAGTGCTGGGATCTGGTCACTTTTCTGCAAACCCATTTTTTTGCAAATTTTGACAGGTCGGGGGTCATAAAAAATTACAAAATATTGACCAAAAATTCGAAAATAAACCAATAATGCAGCTAGATAGATATTTTAACAACAAATTCAGAGAGGTATTCCACTTTTAAATCGGGTAAAAATTTCAAAAAGTTATGGGCTAAGCAGTGCTGGGATCTGGTCACTTTTCTGCAAACCCATTTTTTGCAAATTTTGACAGGTCGGGGGTCATAAAAAATTAAAAAATATTGACCAAAAATTCGAAAATAAACCAATAATGCAGCTAGATAGATATTTTAATAACAAATTCAGAGAGGTATTCCACTTTTAAATCGGGTAAAAATTTCAAAAGGTTTGGGCTAAGCAGTGCTGGGATCTTGTCACTTTTCTGCAAACCCATTTTTTGCAAATTTTGACAGGTCGGGGGTCATAAAAAATGACGAAACATTGACCAAAAATTCGAAAATAAACCAATAATGCAGCTAGATAGATATTTTAATAACAAATTCAGAGAGGCATTCCACTTTTAAATCGGGTAAAAATTTCAAAAGTTATGGGATAAGCAGTGCTGGGATCTGGTCACTTTTCTGCAAACCCATTTTTTTGCAAATTTTGACAGGTCGGGGGTCATAAAAAATTACAAAATATTGACCAAAAATTCAAAAATAAACCAATAATGCAGCTAGATAGATATTTTAACAACAAATTCAGAGAGGTATTCCACTTTTAAATCGGGTAAAAATTTCAAAAGTTTGGGCTAAGCAGTGCTGGGATCTTGTCACTTTTCTGCAAACCCATTTTTTGCAAATTTTGACAGGTCGGGGGTCATAAAAAATTACAAAATATTGACCAAAAATTCGAAAATAAACCAATAATGCAGCTAGATAGATATTTTAATAACAAATTCAGAGAGGTATTCCACTTTTAAATCGGGTAAAAATTTCAAAAGTTTGGGCTAAGCAGTGCTGGGATCTGGTCACTTTTCTGCAAACCCATTTTTTGCAAATTTTGACAGGTCGGGGGTCATAAAAAATTACAAAATATTGACCAAAAATTCGAAAATAAACCAATAATGCAGCTAGATAGATATTCGAATAACAAATTCAGAGAGGTATTCCACTTTTAAATCGGGTAAAAATTTCAAAAGTTTGGGCTAAGCAGTGCTGGGATCTGGTCACTTTTCTGCAAACCCATTTTTTGCAAATTTTGACAGGTCGGGGGTCATAAAAAATTACAAAATATTGACCAAAAATTCGAAAATAAACCAATAATGCAGCTAGATAGATATTTTAATAACAAATTCAGAGAGGTATTCCACTTTTAAATCGGGTAAAAATTTCAAAAGTTATGGGCTAAGCAGTGCTGGGATCTGGTCACTTTTCTGCAAACCCATTTTTTGCAAATTTTGACAGGTCGGGGGTCATAAAAAATGACGAAACATTGACCAAAAATTCGAAAATAAACCAATAATGCAGCTAGATAGATATTTTAACAACAAATTCAGAGAGGTATTCCACTTTTAAATCGGGTAAAAATTTCAAAAGTTTGGGCTAAGCAGTGCTGGGATCTGGTCACTTTTCTGCAAACCCATTTTTTTGCAAATTTTGACAGGTCGGGGGTCATAAAAAATAACAAAATATTGACCAAAAATTCGAAAATAAACCAATAATGCAGCTAGATAGATATTTTAATAACAAATTCAGAGAGGTATTCCACTTTTAAATCGGGTAAAAATTTCA